AATCTTTTGCTTCTACAATTACAGCTGATGCTCAGCAACAGGTGGTCAAAGCTTTGTGCCAAAGGAGATCCCTCAGTGTGTGTTTTAGGGGACAAGGTCTCCCTATGTAGTCAAAGCTCACCTTAAACTTGAAATCTTTCTACCTCAGCCTCTCAAGTAGTAACTAAAGGTATTTTTTGTCATTCGTGGGGGCTGAACTCCGGGCCTGGGCTCTGTCCCTCAGCTCTTCAGCTGTCGACTAGCGCTCTACCTCTTGAGCCTCGGTCCCACTTCCAGCTTTTTCTGCTTATATGGTGCTGAAGAATCAAACCTAGGGCCTCATGCATACAAGGCAAGCACTCTACCACTGAGCCACCTTCCCAGCCCCACTAAAGGTTTTTTAAATTCCTAGAATATGGAAATGTTTAGGAAATTATGTATATGAACACATACTATATCTAAGAATACTTGATCTGTTATTAAGCATCTTCTATTTTTACATAGCTGGTATTAAGATCATTGCCTACTTAATGATGAAGTACATCATTTCAAATACATAGACATTTGTTATATTATTTTGAGGCAGTAGTGCATGTGGCCTGGAACTTGTTATTTAGTCCAGTTTGATCTCAAGCTCAAAATCCTCTTGCCTTTAGCTCCTGAGTGCTGGGATTATAGGAGTGTGTTGCCTAGCTTATATATACATAGGCTCTTAAAATATTAACTACTTTCTTGCTGGGTTCCGATGGCTCATGCCTGTAATTTTCTGAGATCTGAGGATCACAGTTCAAAGCCAGCCTGGCCAGGAAAGTCCGTGAGACTCTTATCTCTAATTAACCACCAGAAAACCGGTAGTAGCACTGTGGCTCAAGTGGTAGAGCTGTAGCCTTGAGCTGAAGAGCTCAGGGACAGTGCCCAGGCCTCACACTACCCCCCAAATAAATATTATACACACACACACACACACACATTTTTTTTTTTGTTTTTTTGTCGGTTGTGGGCCTGAACTCTGGGCCTGGGCGCTGTCTCTCAGCTCTTCAGCTCAAGGCTAGCCCTCTACCACTTGAGCCACAGCGCCACTTCCAGCTTTTTCTGCTTATGTGGTGCTGAAGAATCGAACCCAGAGCCTCATGCATGAAAGGCAAGCATTCTACCACTGAGCCACCTTCCCAGCCCCTCACATTTATTTTTTAAACATACTCTCCCCCTCCCATCTTCGTCAGTCATGGGGCTTGAATTTGGGCCTGGGCGCTGTTACTGAGCTCTTCAACTCAAGGTGAGCCCTCTACCACTTGAGCCACAGAGCCACTTGTGGTTTCTCGTGGTTTATTGGAGGTAAGAGTCTCACGGACTTTCCTGCCCTGGCTGGCCTTGAACCATGATCCTCAGATCTTAGCCTCCTGAGTAGCTAGGATTACAGTCTTGAGCCACCAGTATCTGGCCTCGCAGATTATATTTTGGTGTTGAACTCAAACTTGCTTTTCTTTAGAAGAGTATAGCTGCTCTTTCCTGGTAGAGTGGGGGGGGGGGGAATTCTCCTTTAGAGTAATGACAGAAGAAATTGGACTTTGACCAAACAATATTCTCATTCACATAATTTGTTATTCAGCCAATTAAGACATTGTTGAAGACTGTTTTGTTACTTGCCTTTAATATTTCTTTTTTTGCTACCTCTACATATCATTGTCCTGCCTTGAAGAGTATGTTTTGCAAATTATCAATGAGTTACTACTCACATATTATAATTCGTGTGCCTGGAGTTGTAATTTTCCTTAAACCTTTCTGTATAGTAGTATGGAATGTATACCCCAATATAAAGTTGTTTGTTTTTTTGTTTTTTTTTTTTGGTCATGGGCTTGAACTCTGGGCCTGAACGCTGTCCCTCAGCTCTGCAGCTCAAGACTAATGCTCTACCACTTAAGCCACAGCACCACTTCCGGTTTTCTGGTAGTTTATTGGAGATAAGGGTCTCATGAACTTTCCTGCTTGGGCTGGGTTTGAACTGTGCTCCTCAGATCTCAGCCTCCTGAGTAGCTAAAGGATTACAGGCATGAGCCCACCAATGCCCAGCTTTAACAGTTGATTATTTATTTAGTTAGTTAGTACGTTGGTCATGAACTCTGGGCCTGGGTGCTGTCCCTCAGCTCTTCAGCTCAAGGTTAGCGCTCTACCACTTGAGCCATAGCAACACTTCTGGCTTTTTTTTTCTGCTTATGTGGTGCTGAGGAATCGAACCCAGGGCCTCATGCATGCAAGGCAAGCACTCTACCACTGAGCAATTTTCCCAGCCAACGGTTGATTTTTTTTAAACAAATACAAAATGGTTGGAGGCATGGCTTGATAGAGCACCAGTTAAAGAACTGAAATGTCGGGTACCGAGTTCAAATCATAGTCTTGGATCAAAGCCATATATAATGAGAGAAATTGTCACAGTTGGGTTTTATGTTGTGTGTATGCATATGCATGCCAGTCTTGAGGTTTGAGCTCAGGGTGTGGGCACTATCCCCAAGCTTTTTTGTTCAAGGGTAGTGCTTTACCACTCTGGCCATAGCTCTACTTCCCACTTTTTAGAAGTTAATTGGAGATTAGAATGTCACAAACTTCCCTGCCCTGGCTGACTTGAAACTGTAATTCTTATATCTCA